GTGTTCTTGACCTAAGGAAGTTTGTTTCTGGTGATGTTATCAAGGTTCGTCTGCTTGTTTCAAGGCTAGGATGTGTGGTGCTAGGAAGATCTCTTTAAGAATTGGGTGTCTTTTTAATATGGGTTGCAATTGTTTGAGGATTTTCCATATGGGTTCGAGAGAGGGATGATAAGTCATAACCAGCAGCGTGCAATTCGTGGGGGGGTTTCCTTCTGTACTGCAGCAATTCTTCACAAAGTATCTGGGTGCCTTTTTCAAACATGCAATCTCTCTGGAGGAGTGTCCTTGTTGGTTGAAAGCCTTTTTAAGATTGGTGAGGTGGCAATCCTGGGTGTTCTCCTCAGTGCAAATTCGATGGTATCTTAGGGTTTAGCTGTATATCACAGTTTTCTCGATGTGTCTAGGGTGATTACTGGTTCTGTGCAGCTATGCATGTTGGCCTGCAGGTTTTTTGTATAAAGTGGTCTGTATTTTATCATTCTGGATACTAATCATCGCGTCTAAAAAGGAGACGTTGGTGCTGGAGTATTCAAAGGATATCTGTACACTCAAATAGCAAAATCAGAAGAGGGCCCGACTTCCACTAGACCAGTTGTACTTCAAAAAAGGAGACTAACTCATCATGCCACCACTTGCAAAAGTAAAATGACCCCGGCAGACAGTCTGGTCCAATACACAGGTGACACTGGATTTTATTCTTGCATCTGCCACTCACTGAGCAAATGACCTTAGGCAAATTATTTCTTAAGAAGTGATACTGTAAGTAGTATTAGCTGAGTGGAAAAAAAGCACTGTATTAATAAAAGTAAAGAATTACTTACGAATTTCAAGACTGTTGCATTGAAGAAGCAGTGCGAGAATATCTTTACCAAAAACTAGATGCTGAAGAATAAGTTATATGAATGTAAAATGATCCAAAAGGCACTGAGATCCAACAGTATTGGGGTTCTCGAACTGTGGGTCCTGACCCCCTGGAGGGTCATGAGCAATTTAAAAGGGGGCCACAACCTTCCCAGGGGGTACGCATAGTGGCACAGGGAAGCAGTGCGCGGCAGCGGTACAGAGTGGTAAATGACAGCAACAGCTGCTGTGTGCAAGCTCCCCATCCCCCGCTGCCACCATCCAGAGCTCAGGGTCATAGTATCACAAAGTTTGAGAACCCTTGCAATAATAAATCTGTTCAAGGGGATCAGTACCTTGGAAAATAAGTAAAAGACATTGTTTTACACATATTTTCCATCAGCTCAATACTTGAAGAATAAAACAATTCTTAGAACAGGGCAATTCTTAGAATATATACTCTACAGAGTTGTGACCAAAATATAGCTCATGGGCCAGATCCAGACCACAGAGCCATCATCCAGCCTGCAGGGCTCTCCATGGATCTAAGAATTTGGCAGCAGGGGAGCAGTGGCAGTGTTAATTGCCATTAATCCCAAAGCTGCAGCAATTAATGCTACTGCCACTAATCCTGATGCCATGTTTCCTGACCTGTGGGGAGCTCCATGCCTAGATAACACAACTCTGCGTGACAGATGTGACCCATAGGACTGACCTCCCCCAAAAAGGATGCAAATCTCACTCCCAAAAAAGGATGCAAATCAATTCCTACTTTACTGATAAACTTTACAGTCAAAACACTCAGCTAATTTAAAGTGGGAGTTCAGCTAAACAAATGATAAAAATGAGCAAATCACATGGTAAAATTTTAGGGTCTAAAGTTCTGTTTGCTAAATATTTTGTCAAACATTTAGACAACACAACATTTTTTATCCTGAGATGAAAAGGCTAAGGAGTTTGAAAGCAAACTGATGCAATAATGCTACCATGTGGAACAAAGGAGTACAGCATTAAATGTAGCACTATCTAAAAACAGTCTTCTCAAACTTAACTAAAATTCCACAATTCATTCAAGAGTCATAGAAAAGAAAATTGAAGTCAGTCTCAAGTTCTCAGCCTCACAATACCTTGAAGATACTTACATGTATAGACTTACTTGCATGCTACTAGTTATGCTATTAACAAAAAAAACACCAAAACTGGTAAACAAAATGTTAACCCATATTCAGAAGTGTTTTTGCATACATGCTAAACTTGTCTTCATTTCTTTAGTCAAATGAAATTGGGAGTTCCATATTAAGAGAAATTTTATGTACCTGTTCTTTATGAACACACAATTTTGTACAGTATTTCCCTCTTACTGGAATATTATCACCAGGAGTGACGAAGAACTTTAAGTCACCAGCTGGAGTTCCTCAGCAGAGGACATCTAAATAAAAACTAATATTTATCCACTAACATTTGTATATGACATGGGGAACATACCCATGTGTGTTTTAAATATATGTATTAATATATTACAAATTTTATCTCTTTAATACATCCTTATTAGCACTCAAAAATTTTTTTTTCAAGTGAGGAATCTGTTATACCTCCCTCAGAACTAATCTTTATATACCTTTCTACTCTTCCTGGAAGTCCTCCACAACATACTACCTGTTCCTGATCAGAACATCATGCCGGCATGTGCTTGCCTGATGACATCACATTTGACATTAACCCCAGTGGAGCATACATCAGGGAAGGGGGAGCAGTGTTTAATACTTTTTCCAAAGTCATATTACACAGTTAAAATAAATGTAAAACACTGAAGGAAATACGACTCGACTTGCTTCTCGCTCTATGCAGCAGCATATTTGCTATGTCCACCAAAACAACAGTAATCATTAGAAACCTGGATTTAAGAAATTACAAGGGTGGATAAAATTCAACAATTTAAAAGCAAAATAAGTTAAAATCTGATTTTTTTTAAATTTAATTGTATTATTTGATTTTTTTTGTTAAGATGCTTTTTTTTAAAAAAAAAAATCTATGTAAGGGTAGTTATAATTTAAAATATGTTAAAGATCAAAGCTATCATCATGGAATAGGGATTACAGGCAGTCCTCAACTTACAACTGAGTTACGACAAACAGCATTCACAACGTTTGTAAACTGACACCCTGTTTCAAAGGTTCCAATGCAGATTTCACCTTTACGACGCTCGACACAGCTGCATCCAGTTGCTAAGTCTGGTGTAGTGGGGTGGAGGGAAGGGGCATGAGGGGGCAGATCAACACCCCACAGCAAGGGAGAGATTGTGGCTGGGGCAAGCTCCCAGCTGGGGTAGAAGGATGCAGGGATGGGGTGGGGCAGCTCCTGCCGCTGTGCCACAGGTCCGGGAGAGCATGGGGAGGGGGTGGAGCACATGCCCTGGATCTGCATGGAGCATGCAGAGCACGGGCTGCGCTCCAGGTGGAAGGTGCTGAGAGCAAGGGCTCTGCCCTTCCGCCACTCTCCCAGCCAGGATGGGGAGCACAGGATGGAGTCACTGCACTGCCTCAGAAAAGCAGCATGAAACCACCCCGGCCTCACTGGGTTTTGCTGCAGCACTTCTAGTTTCACGCACTGAACGCCCACCGAGGGACCCCCCTCTCCCCCGACTTGATGGGCCACTGAGGCATAAGCTGTAGAATGGGGTGGGCCACCCAGGCCATGGCCTGACCAACTTTTAACACGTTAATTCAGCTAGCTATGTAATTTTAAAAAATTGATATACAGTTTTAACCAGAATGACAACTGCGTGTTTGTGGGTTATATAATTAACTTGCTAAAAGTTGATCAGGCCATGGCCTGGGCAGCCCACTCCATTCCAGAGCCTATGCACCCAGGGACTCCCCACTTCTCACCCAGCTGCTAGGGGTACACTGACCAAAGAAGGCTGAAACATGTCCCACTTCCCTCGAGTTAAATGAATAGAGGATTGCTGGGGGTAGAATAGACCTGGCCAAAGAAGAGGACTATGGGGATAAGTGCAAGGAGGGAAGGGCAGAAGAAATAAAATAGAAACCTTTTGAACAGAATATTCCAGAAGCCTTGAGGGATAAGTTTCCAAGTATAGCCTTTCTGCTGATTTGAGATCTAGCGAGGGAATAGAATGGTAGGTTTTCCCTTCTATCATGGCAGCAGGCTTGCCAGGCCGTAAGAGGGACTCCGTTTGGGAATATTTTAATGAAGTTCCTCTACCTGTGGGTAAGACAGGTATGCGTGCAAAATGGAAACAGTGCAACAAAGAAATGCAAGGCCTGGTTGCCTGAATGAAACATCATGAAAAGCACTCCTTCTCAGGAAGAAGAGACTTTGAAGATGATGAATAGAACAATGATTAAAATTGAGACTTCCTGACCAGTGATTTAAATTGTGACTGAAATCAATTCGATTTGAATCAAGTCCACCCTGGAAACTACAAAAGTCCTGCTGTACAGAAATATCCTCTTACTCAGAGACATTCAAGATGTACTTGCAGAGTAAATGACTATTTGTTAAGAATCTATAGTTCACCTTCTATAAGACTTCATGAAAAATAAAGTCGTTCCAATTCATATCTGTTATCGCAAACCTACAGCCCTTTGCAAACAAAATTCTCAGTAAACTTCACCATGACCCATTCATTTATGCTTTACCGACAAAGCATCCAATAAAGGCACCATTTCTGGTTGGTAGTATGTCCACATATTATACTATGAAAATTTACAGGAGTAATATTGTTCACTGACTTTAAAGATCCCAATACAAAATTTGAACTCATTCCCCATACTTTTTCTTCTCCATCTCAAGATTTTTACCAAATAAAAATTTAAAGAATTCAGAAAATATTTATGTACAGTGATTTCACTACTGCTTTTTTCTGTTTGGCTACAGCCATAAATGAGAGTATCTAACTCAAGAATGCACAAAGAGGTTTTAGATTGTTCTTAAACAGTGATTAATGAAAGAACAGGGAATTAGAAGACTTAGATTAAGTAGGCATGGAAAGAACTAAAGAAAAGAATGTCTTTTTTTAATGTGAAAAAAACCTTAGTTCTTCAAAATACCTATCACCCACATGGAACTACTGCAGAAAAGAACAGCCATTATTGATTTTTAAAAAGTTACTGAAGGTAGACAATGAAATAACTTACCTTTTTAAAAACTTTTCCAGAAGGCTGGATTTCATCTTCCTCTTTCAAGACTTCCCTTGTTCCCAGGAGCGTCTTGTCCTTGAATTTAGTTTTAGCATACTTGAAAACTTTGTCAAGCGTATCACATCCAGGATATAAAACTGAAGCTAAGCAATGCATGCTGTTAACAGATCTGTATGCACTACCAGGCTGGTTATTCACAGGTTTAGCTTTAATTTGCTTTGATTTTGCAATAGCTTGTCTTGAGCCAGATAGTATGTACCATGGAATATATGTTATAAGTGAATACAACAAGATTATAAAGTTTATGAAATGAAGAAGAACAGGATTGATGGTATGCTTTAGCTTCATTTTGGCTATTTCCAAAGTTTGTAAGTCACAAGGAGAGTTGATTACATGGAGAACAATGAAGATCTGAAGGGAAAGAAAAAGTGAAAAAAGTTAGGCTTTCAGAAGTTAGCCGATAGTCCTATTTAAATATATATTTTTATTATTAGTTTCTGATTAAAAAACTTGGAGAGGACCAGCACATCAATTTACTCATCGAATAGTTTAAGATAAACATCTACAACATTTTAATTTCATATTATAATATTTTTTTCATATAACATCTTGAATTAATTCCTGCCCAATTTTTCTGATAAATATAGGTACACATATAAAACTAACAGCAGCTAATTTAGCCAATCATAATATCACGATATCCATGCCTAGAGCTTAACTTGCAAACTTCAACTCCTTCACCAGTGAGCTACTGACCTTCCTAAAAGCTTGAGTAGCAACCTCCGCTGCTCCCCACACATGAATTATAATAAAAACCCAAAACCTAATTAATGAATAAATCACCCAAGTCCATTAAAAGCTGTATTTGGTGGACACAGCAAAGATCTGTTCCATGGATCCCAAACCAGGTGCACTGAATTTCTTTGTAGGACCCTGTCGGCAATGGAATGTTACTATTTTCTATATGTGAATATACTCCATGACATGACAGGATTTCATTCTTAGTTACTGTATACAAAGAGTGCATTTGTATTATAAACATGGCATTTGACATAACAATAAAAGACAGACATTCTAACCACACCATTCTGAACTCAGAATGAAACCCTGGTCCATTTAAAAGTCAACAGAACTTTTATCACTGAACAAAAACCTGGTCCCATTTAAGTCACGTGTGGTTCTTTTTTAATATACATGGTTTTACTGCTATTATAGAATCATAGAAAATTAGGGTTGGAAGGGAACTCCAACCCTAAATTTGGGTCATCTAATACAACCCCCTGCACAAAGCAGGACCATCCCCAACTAGTTCATTCTAAACAGGGCTTTGCCAAGCCGAGCCTTAAAAATCTCCAAGGACAGAAATTCCACAACTGCTCCAAATAATTTGTTCCAGTGCTTCATCACCTTCCTAGTGAGAAAGTTTTTCCTAATATTCAGCCTACATCTCCCTTGTTGCAACTTGAGACCATTGCTCCTTGTTCTGCCATCACTGAGAATAGTCTAGCTCCATTCTCTTTGGAACCTCCCTTCAGGTAGTTGGGATCAAATCCCCTTTGTCTTCTCTTCTCTAAACTAAATAAACCCAGTTCCCAGACTCTCCTTAAGTCATCTGTCCCAGCCCATGAACCATTTTCATTGCTTTCTCCTGGACTCTCTCCAACTTGTCCACATCCTTTCTATAGTGGGAGGGTGGGGGCAAAACTGGGCACAATACTCCAGATGTGGCCTCACCAGTGCAGAATAATCACTTCCCTCCATTTCCCGGTAATGATCCTACTAATGTAGCCCAGTATGCTGTTAGCCTTCTTGGCAACAAAGGCACACTGCTGACTCATATTCATCTTATTACCCACTGAAACCCCCAAGTCCTTTTCTGCAGAGCTGCTACTTAGCCAGTCAGTCCCCAGGCTGTAGCAGTGCATGGGATTCTTCTATCCCAAGTGCAGGACTTGCACTTGTCCTTCTTGAACCTCATGAGATTTCCTTTGGCCCAGTCCTCCAATTTGTTTACATCACTCCGAATCCTATTCCAATCCAATCCGTCAACTACACCCCCCCATCCCGGTAGGTGTCATCCTCAAAACTTGATGAGGGTGCAGTCCATCCCATCTTCCAGACTATTAATGAAGATGGGCCGGGGCGGGGGGCCAGGGAATGGGGGTCCCCACACCTGTCCCGCAGGCGCCCGTCTTAGGGCCTTGGAGGGGCAGGTGAGGGAGCTCCAGGAGGAGGTTAGCAGGCTGAAGGGAATCAGGGAGGCAGAGGATAAAATTGATGGTTATTTCCTTTCCCTGCAGGGCCAAGCACCAAAGGAAGAAGAGCCCCAGGAGGTACCCTCCGCAGCAGAATGGCAGAAGGTCCCCTCCAGAGCCAGGGCTGCTCATGGTGGCGCAGTACGAGCTTCTCCAGTCCAGCTGGGGAACAGGTATGAGGCCCTGGCGACACTGGAGTAAGAGGAAAGTGAGGAGGAAACCTCTGTTAAGGAAGTCGCTCTACGCATAGATCGGGCTGAAGGAGGCAAGTTGACCTGGAAGAAAAAACGCTGGGTACTCATCATAGGCGACTCCATTCTGAGAGGAACAGAGGGTCCCATCTGTCGCCAGGATCCCATGACATGCGAGGTTTACTGTCTGCCCAGAGAGCAGATTCAGAACATGATGGAGATGATCCCAGCCCTCACCCAGCCCACTGATTACTACCCATGGTCCTAATCCATGTGGGTACTAATGATGCGGCCAGGAGCAGTCCAGATCACCTGATGAAGGACTACCAAGCTCTGGGGGGCAAGCTAAAGGAGACAGGGGCACAAAATACCTAGGTAACAGGCAGGGGCCCAGATAGTCCTGGGATTGGGGGGGTAAGGCACATACGCCCTCAGGAGCCCTTAAATGCGTCTACACTAATACTCGTAGTATGGGGAACAAGCAGGAGGAACTTACCCTCCTGCTAGCCACCACAAACCCAGACATAGTGGGGCTCACTGAAACTTGGTGGGATCCAACACACGACCCAGTGGTAAACATCAAGGACTATAGGCTGTATAGGCAGGATAGAACAGGGAGGAAAAGTAGGGGTGTGGCACTCTACATCAAAGAGCAATACACATCCTCAGCAAACAGCACTGGGTCTGAGGTAGGGCAGACTGAGGTATTCTGACCCAGAGCACGAGGGGGTCAGGGGGAAAGGGACCTAACGGTGGGGGTCTACTACAGGCCACCTAACCAGGGAATTCTCTGGGCAGCTCGCGGAGGCAGTCAAGTCAAGGGACGTGGTCAACATGGGTGACATAAACTATCCGGACATCTGCTGGGAAGAGCAGTTAGCCAGGTCTGACCACTCACATAGGTTCCTAACCGAATTACGGGACCTCCATCTAACCCGGCAGGTGCACAGTTCCACCAAGGGAAATGCAGTGTTGGACCTGGTCCTGGCCACAGGTGACGACCTGATGAGGGGACTGCGGGTGCTTGACCACCTGAGCAATAGCAATCATCGCCTACTGGAATTCACCATCCAGTGCCAAGCGCAGGGTGTCAAAGGTCTACAGCAAGGCAGCAGCTCTGGACTTCAGGAGGATGGATTTCAATGAGGTAAGGAGACTAGTCAGAGAGGCACTGAGGTCCCAGACGGGAGGGGAGTTGGGAGTCCAAGAGGAGTGGTCATTCCTTAAGGAGACAATCCTCCAAGCCGAAAGGCTGACAATCCCCACATGGATCAAAGGGGGCAAGAGCGCTCAAAAGCCCCCGTGGCTCACCAGAAGCATCTCAAAGACAAAAAGGAGGCGTACACCCAATGGAAGGGACGGGTCATCACCAGGGAGGATTATACCTCCATTGCTCGAGATTGAAGGGGGGCTGTTAGGAAAGCTAAGGCAGAGATGGAACTAGGACTAGCTACCTGGATCAAGGATAACAAGAAGTCCTTTTTTAAATACATATGGGGTAAAAAGAAGATACCAAGTAACTTGGGGCCTCTGCAGAACATGCTTGGTAAACTGGTGGTAGCACCAGGCGACAAAGCTAATCTCTTTAACAGTTTCTTTTCTTCCATTTTTCTGAGCAGGGGCAGGGGCAGGGGCATCCCCCCTCCCCCCCCACTGGGAATCCTGACAGACCCAGGACAGGTGCAGCCAGGCCCAGGATTAGTGAGGACCTAGTCAGGGAACTTCTGGAGGGACCAGACACGTTCAAATCAGCAGGTCCCAACGATCTCCACCCCAGAGTGCGGAGGGAACTGGCAGAGGTCATTGCAGGACCCCTGGCACAGCTTTACGAGCATTCATAGTGCTCTGATGAGGTGCCCGAGCATTGGAAAAGGGCCAATGTGGTCCCCATTTTCAAAAAAGGGAGGAAAGAGGACCCAGAAAACTATAGGCCCTTTGGTCTTACCTCGGTCCTGGGGAAGCTCTTTGAGAAAATTATCCAGGTGCACATCTGCAAGGGACCAGCAGGGGAGATTATGCTTAGGGGCAATCAACATGGGTTCATTAGAGGCAGGTCCTGTCAGACCACCCTGGTTGCCTTCTACGACCAGGTCACAAAAGCCTTGGCCACAGGTGTTACTGTGGACGTAGTCTTTCTAGACTTTAGGAAGGCCTTCGAAACGGTCTCTCACCCAATCCTCATTAAAAAATTAGGCGACTGTGGTGTCAACGCCTACACAGTCAGATGGGTCGCAAATTGGCTGGAGGGCTGCACCCAGAGAAGGGTGATAGATAGGTCATTTTCGACCTGGAGGGAGATGGGCAGTGGAGTCCCCCAGGGCTCGGTCCTCGAGCCCTCACTGTTCAATATCTTCATCAGCGACTTGGATGAGGGGGTGAAAAGCACCTTGTTCAAGTTCGCAGATGACACTAAGATGTGGGGAGAAGTGAGCACACTAAAAGAGAGGGACAGGCTACAACTAGATCTGGACAGGTTACAGTGTTGGGCAGATGAGAATAGCATGGGTTTCAACACTGACAAGTGCAAGGTGATACACCTGGGGAGGAAAAAACAGCAGCATATCTACAGGCTGGGGAACACCTTTTTTGTCAGCACAAAGGTAGAAAAGGATCTTGGAGTCACTGTTGATTCCCAGATGAACATGGGCAGGCAGTGTGGGGATGCGGTCAGGAAGGCTAACCGCACTCTGTCATGCATCCACAAATACATTACAAGCAGATCCAAGGAGGTGATCCTCCCCCTCTATGCAACACTGGTCAGGCCGCAGTTGGAGTACTGCATCCAGTTCTGGGCGTCGCACTTCAGGAGGGATGTAGATAGCATAGAGATGGTCCAGAGGAGGGCCACATGATCAGGGGGCAGCAGGGTAGGTCCTATGAGAAGAGACTATGGGACCTGAACCTGTTCAGCCTACACAAAAGAAGGCTGAGAGGGGATCTGGTGGCTACCAACAAACTTGCTAAG